ATTTATGTGCACCAATCAGAAGCGCTACAAATTTAACTACACCTCAGTATGGGGGGTCTGACATTTGAGATTTATGAAATTTCATGTTCTCCTGCGCAGAAACAACCCTAACCACACATGCATTCCCTATCAACCTACACCACGACAATTTCGGGCTTTGGAATTGCCTTCTTGAATGCATCGAGGCCTGGAGGTTTGCCTGGATGCATGGTTTTGATTGCACTGGCAAGCTCCTCACCCGAGAGCGGACGGTCCAACTCATCACGCTGTTCCTCCGTGAGCCGTTTAGTGATGAGGCGCAGAATGCGGCCCGAGCTCGTCGCGACGGGGGACGAAAGTTCTCGTTCACACATGATCTCACTCTAACGACCGTGGAAGGCTGTGTGGATGAGAGTCGGATCGATCGTGATCGTGTAACTACTGTCATGTAGCTGTACTCGCCAATGGGCACATTATATAGTCGCCTTTAGGCGGACGAAGAAGTGTTCAGTCAATACTGTGGTGATGGTGTTCTCACAAGCTCTGGCGTTCCGACTGGCCAACTATTGTTTGTAATCTTAGTGAACGACGGAAACCTGTGGCATTCGTTCGAATTTGGGTAGGATAACATGGATATGAATGTACCAAGTCGTTGACATTGATAGCAAAAACAAATACACTCATGCTGATATGCACTCTGTGGTGAATGGTATGCGTGGTATTTTGCATCATATTTGCGTCGATGGAACGAAAATTCTTGTATATCAGACCTCTTGCCCATGAACATTGTATATGCCAATACGATAATCTCGCAACTAGAAAGAATGCATACTTTCGATATGTACTTATCGCTGGTCGTTCATTGACCCCGAGACTTTTGCGGAGTTCCTGTAGCAGGTGTTCAGCTACCAGATCAGACACCCCAGTCAGCAGCTGCCCTACCAACGCCGAACCGCCATCGCCCTCTGGACAAGGGTCGTAACCGAGGCATGTCGGGCAAGTACCGACCCATCTCACTGATGTTTGTCGTGGTGGTGGTGTTCTCCCGAGCCCTGGCGTTCCGACCGGCCTAGTCCACTTCTCCGCTCGTCGACCCACCCAAGTCGTATTCGTCCGTGGCCGGCGCCGGCAGGGAACCTTCCCCTGCGGTACTAAAGAAATAGAATTGGAACTTGTATAAGGCAATAATGTTACGATGATGGTTTTTGCTGGAAATTACATTCCGTTAGACTTTTGAGGTGATGAGGACTGCGTTGTCAGTGGTCAATATATTTTGGGGATTGACGGAAACTCACGACCAAATTGTTGCATCCAAGTTAAGGGTTCTACCACCGCATACAAAACGAACTAATACTTCTAGTACACCAATCCATCACTGGGACAGAATGTTCGAAAACAAGAGACTGATAACTTCATAAGGCGTTTCTCCCCCATCTGCTGTCATTTGTTGTATCATGGCCAGCCTCGTCTCGCCTACGGGCACCATGGGTTTTCTGCGGATCCACTTTTAGGTACGTCGCAGCTTCCTTTAGCCGCAGGTCCCTCTTCAGCAGACCCACGTCCAAACGTTGAAGCGATATTATCTCATAGTTGCCGACAATCGGATCAGTACTTCGTTTTGATCTTTGCATCAATTCACTCAAATTGATTATTCAATTTTTGACCGAGCGAGTCATAATATTTGGACAAAACCTACAACACTGCGTTTTCGCTGTTCGCTAACCAATGTCACATGCTATCATGAGGCATTTTGTTGAAATACGTCTAACTGTCTTTCTGAACCATTTGGCACGAAGTTACCGTTCACCCACCTGTCGTTCAAAACAGCACACCAGAAATTTATCCTTATGATTGAACGAATAAAGTTCTAGGGACAATAATCTGCCGAATAAATTGGGCTGAAACGCAGAATGTATGTTTTAATTTCATTCATGAAGAACGAAATTCCCTTCTTGGTACTATAAGCTAAAAACATAATCGAAATGGTGCGACATTCAATACCTTGCGGGAACTACAATTGTGGTAGCACATGAGAGAGGCGAGATGCTAGAGGTCGCACAAGATCTTGACTTCGACGGGTATCAGTGATACTTGGCAGGGCTGCGACGATCACTCCTCAGACCAGCAAGGTAAAGGCGGAGTGCCTCTGACTTGGGAGTAATCGTCCTTGTAGTAGTAGAGCGTTGAAACTTGGCACAAGATCTTGGCAAAGAGGGTGGGATCAAGCTGGATGGCAAGTTCATTCCTGAACCACCGAAGCGTACGTCAATCTAGAATGCGTCTTTGTCGTCTTGGCTGCTTACGGTTTGGGTCCATCGTCCATCACAACGGTCGTTATCAGCACCAACAAAAGAACAAGAAGTGTTTCTGCCTCAATCATTTCACGAGCAGGGGCGTCCCCCACCTCCTAAGAGAGGTTGCTCGATCAGTCTGAACGCCTTCCACAAGCACAAGGCTCGTATCCCAGCAGGGTCCTGAATCGCAGTTCAGACGGCAGTCCGGTTAGGCCACCGCCGTCCCTGCGACGCAACGAAGCTCAAGGTCACGCAAAACAATTCACCACTGCCGTTGATCACGCATCTTCGTCTTCAAGGTTTCCGCCACAACGAGACATGCACACGGCGAGGCGGGTTAGGCCGAGCGGTTCGCCTAGCGGCTTGCCGGTCTCTTATCTTGTGTGCGGCTCGTTCGTGACTTCCACCTTGAACTTCAGGCGTCAAGACTTCAAGCTACAAGATATCACGGATCACCCACACGTCCCAGCATCAGGTACCTCTGTCGCAGTGTCATCGCCTTCGGCCTTGGTGTGTGGGAGCAAATTCCAGAACGCCCGACCCGGAAAATGACGAGCAAGGCAGTTCAAGGAAGGCCACCAACCCATCAATTTACACGACGAACCTGATTAGCTATCAAGCTTCCCTGACACAGGCTTCAGTGATGCCATTGGTTCAATCTCATCCCAGAAGCATTCAGCCGAATATCGCCCATACCACATGCTTGGGAACGTTGTGATTCGGTCACATGTGTTTTGTCAACATCGATGCTGACGCACCAAGAACAATTCTTGTTTCGCCAAGACATCCGACAAGAACATCAGGACGAAGATTCAACACCCAAAAGGGGAGACAAAAAGAGGAAACACAAAAATGAGAAAAGAAAGCGAAGAAAGAAAGAAGTCAAGGAACAGAAAGGTTTCGGTAGAGTCCTTTCCGTTTCCTGTTCCGCCTCCCACCGTATGTTTTGAAATACCTCCAGAAGAGCTTAAAAGTACTCGTCAAACTTAATTGAAATTCCTTTCCTGCGGGTAACCGATCGGAATACAATCTTTTCCCTTTCCGACGGCAATTGTCCACGCCATCTAAACGCAGCCAGTTCACAGAGAGAGAACACGTCCTCCTTTTGACCCAGGTTATGGTCGACATGCCTCACCTTGCTCGGCGTGGTGCAATCATGTCGGCTTGGGACTCTGTTGCCCGAAACCTCATCAGCAGTGGTGAATTTGACCGTCCCAAGTTCGACGGCAAGAAGACGCAAGCAAGATTTGCGATAATGCTGCGCGACCACCAAGACAGGAACGAAACCTCTGCAAAGGCTTCGGGTGCTGCGGAGGAGTGCATAGAGCGCAGGATCCTGCTCGATGACCTTTTGGCGCAAGTGTTGCAAGTCAATGAGGAAGGGGAGAAACGCACGGCCGAAGAGGAGGCAGCAGCTGCTCAAGTAGAATCATCAGCGGCTCAAATCCGGGACGAGGCGATGAAGTCGCAAGGTAAACGGAAGGCGAAGGGCTTCGACGACGAAAGTGCATCGACGGGAGGTGGAAAAATGCTAAAGGTACTTGCGTTGATGAACGAAGGTGACAAAAACGAGCTCGATCTACGCAAGTTTATGTTTGAAATAGAAATGGAAAACGCAAAAAGGAGCGCGAATTTCAAGCAGAAGAGCGAAACAAGGACCGCGAGATTCAGGCACAACTAATTCAAATGCTGCAGACAACAATGACAGCTCTTCTTAGTGCTTTGGTGAAGAAGTTGTAAAAGAGAAATACATTTCAAAATCGAATTGATTTTACACTGTAGCTACCTCCACAGTATCAAGGCATCTTCGAGACTTGGTGGCATCAAATCAAAGTACATACTGATTTGATTTCCGCGGAAATGGCAACAATGACAATTTGTCAAGAGCATGGCAACACAAACAATTTTCGCAACTGGTGATTGCATAATCTTCGCCTGGTTTTTGAAAGTGATGAAACGCCACAGAGTTTTCATGTTGAAGCTCCATTCCACGGATTGTCGAACGCTGCTCATGGTGTTGTTAAATTGTTGTTGCTGGGGTGTCAACCTGACTCCACGGTACCCACTCAGGATATATTTCGCCACGCCGTAAGCTGGATCGCCGTATATGTACTTCGACTAAAAAATGTCAGGGTTCTGGGCAAACACATCCAATACTTTACTCATTGCAAGCTTGGCCGAGTCGTGTCGACGGCCTTCCACCAGGCCCCAAAAGTGAATGCATACTCCATCTGGAGCCGAAATGGCTTGGTAGTTGAGGCAGTGTATACGCTTATGGCCACTATATATTTGCTTTTGCAAGTTGGAGCCATCACCAGTAGCAGTTATGCGCAACGTTTGGAGCTTTGTGCCGTCAATGAATCCAAACACACTGACAAGGGGTGATCCTTTGTTGAAAATTGATCGGCAGTAGTGATCCATGCGAGCTCTGACCAGTTTCTTGTTCATGAACAGTATAGGACTCCACCGGTCGAACAGATCGTGAACCAAATACAGGAATATATCACATAGTCGTCCCCGAGAGCGCCCAAACATGCGAGCCATATCATGGTACCGGCGTGGGAAGGTTAGTCGATTCAGCAATATACACAGGGCCTCGTCGCGGTAAATCCGTGACTCGTTGGGTGTTACAATGACTGCTGGGAGGCCAATTAGATACCCGAGACGTTTGATTCCAGCAAAGTCGAAGCAAAAGTCCAACAGGGCGTTGGCATCGGGGTAGTTGTCCAGAACAAAGCAAACGTTGGGAAGAAGTGGTGGCTCGATGTACTGAAAGATGTATAACTGCATGAGCATGTGTCGAGCGGACTTTGACTTAACAAGGGCAGTAGCATGATGATTTCGTTGACAGAGAGTACCATGATCGTTGGTCTTGTAAATGGAGTGAAGGAGCAAGTGATGTATTCATGTTAACCGATCGGGAAAGGAAACGAATTCATTGTAAAAATAGTTTCCCCTCGTTTCCTGCTCCGAACCTCGGAGGCGGAACAGGAAACGGAAAGGATTCTACCGAAACCTTTCTAACAAAGTATCTCTATTTCCGAAAGAAGCTGAAAGTAGGACCTATTTAGCATAATATATGCAATTGAACCCTGAGCAATAGGGGCAACTTTCCATTTTACTGTGTGCAACTGTAACGCTCGAAAGTACTCTGTGTCTCAACACCCTTCCAAGCATCCGCCTCGTCATGCCATCGAATCTCTCCGCCACCACCTTGTCTCCACCTACCACGGATGTCGACATGACATCCAAGGATGGAGTTACCGTTGTCGCCGTCGCCGCCGTCCCCGTCGAACGCGCCATGCCTGACGTGCTCGCGCCGCTTGCCGCCTCGCCCACCGCAGGTGCGGAGCCCCGAGAGACCACTTCTGGGAAAACGTCTCTGCACGACCCTGTCGCGCGTGACGCCAGGGAAGGCATGCCTGCTGTCCTCGTTGGCTCATACGGGCCGCCTGCCGGCGGGCTGGAGTGTCGTGTCGCGCTTGAGCCCCTCCGCACGCCACCATATCCCCAAGTGAAGGGAATGAATCGACACCGGAAGGGCAGCCAATCAGCGAGCCAACACCGATCAGCGTTCTTGCCTTGTCTTGTTAAGCTTCGCCAGCATGACGTCCGAGAATGTTGGTCCTTCAGTTGCCCGGCCGATTGAAGTGTCTACGTCATCAGCGCGCCGCGTGGTTGACTTGATGACCGAGCCCAGCCACCACGCCGCCAGTTGCCCAGTGCAACCAGTCGCACCTGCGACTAAAATCTCGTATGCTTCCACGGTACGGCGGGCCGTCGCCAGGGCCCACGACGGCGAGGTGAAAGCTACACTCACGAGGCCGTCTCGGTATATGCTGGCGAAGCTTCTCCAGCTGGCCAACGATGATGAAACCTCTGACGCCATGATGCTAGAGGCGATACAGGAAGATCTGCCATATCCGAAACGTGTCGGCACCACAACGTTTTAGATAGAAACGCGTGCTGCACTGTCGTCAGTCTCTAACGGCCAAATCGTCAAAAGTCTGTTTAACGAGAGTCAGGAGGCTCTATGGAGCTCCCTGATGGCCTCGTTTGTGCAAGTAAATAAGGCCCGGGGCGGGGATGTAGTCGTCACTATAACCGAGGATGCAGCTCGTCTCGGGATGCTGGGTCAATCTGTCCGCATCCTGGGGAACACATACTCCGTCGCCTCGCCGGCCTCGTCGTCCTCCCGAGGCAACGCCCACAGGTCGCATGACGAGTTGCAGGACTAATACTATATGGACAATCGTGGGCACACGGTCCAAGCTCAACTTGCAGACGCTGCTTAAGGCACTTCGCAGATTGAAAACACGGCCAGTGTTTGTCTGCTACAAATTGACGTACTCCATGAGAAGTCGGACGAACACCATGTATCCCAACACTTGGCGGGTCTACTTCAGTAAGCCGACCCCCCCTGCAGGACTCCTTGTGGATGGACGCCCTGCGGACCAAATCCTTCTACATGGGGACACACTACGGGGTGTACGTGAAGGGATACGAGAAGTCGACGACAACTCGACATGGACGAATTTCCCCTTATTGTCTGGACCTGGACAGGGTCTTGGGGGGCGAGTCTGAGGGGCAGTCGCACTCAAATGACGAAAGTAGTAAGCGTGCGCGGG